AAAGATTTGCAATTTTTAGCAATTAACGTTGCCACCTCATAGCTCGCCCTTGTGGCATTTTCATTTGACTCATGGGCTCTTGTGAAAAATTGTTGTTGTGACATTAAAACTGCTTCAAGTTGCTTCAGCTTTTCACTGCGGTCGCGCCCTGTTAGCTTGTCATATGTGCTATGTCTCGACTGGTAGTGTCTCTTGACATTAAATTCCTTATAAACAGCCACAGTCTCTTGGCATATCAGACAAACACAGTGATTCCGTATTTCAGTGAAGAAATATTCCACTTTCCACCTGTCCTGGAAGCGGCGGCCCTCACTGTCAACTTTCCTTCTCTTATTTACAGTCGCCATTTTTTAAATTGACCAGAATGGGAAGGGATCATGTGAGCGCAGTGCCAGAGGTTTAATACACTGCCCAAGTAATACACTGCACTAATACACTGCCCAACAAGAATTCTCTTGCCTTTGTGGCTGTTTGTGGCGAAGTCTCTAATGATGAGCTCCACGTGCCTGAGCCCGTTTGTGGTGAAGTCTCTAATGTTCGCAGCTCCACGTGCCTGAGCCCGCCAGGAAGCTGACAGTGCGCAGGGCCAATCACAGATACTGAACTTGAGCAGCTGCGGAGTCCGTCCCTGCACTCTCAGCCCCAAGGTAGAGGGCTTGCAGGGTCAGAGGCGGGCGGAGAGGGCTGCTTGGTGGAGGCTCCAGGCCAGCAGCTATGACAGCTATGGACTGCAGGAACCTGAAGATCTGGAAACTAGATTGGGAACCTGCTGCTCTTAGTAAACAACCAGGAGCTGGAGTTCTAGGGAGTTACCCCTCTCAGGAGTCTGGTGGTCCTGAGGGTGAATCAACTGCCACCTCAAAAACTGTGGTAGGAAGTGGACAAGGAATGTGGGGTGAGTGGTACCTGCCACCTGAACAAACATCTTGTGATGGGATTCCTTGTTGACTAGGTAATGACCACTCCTGTTTCAACACAGTCCTAGGCTAGGACCTAGTGCAGAGGCTGGATCTAGGTCCCCACTGAGACTGTCCCTGCCCTTAAGAGCAGTCTGTTGTTCTGACTGTGGCCGCTAGGCTGCCCTGCCCCGACTGCAGGAGTGGTTATATGGACTCTGGCCAATGGGACATACAGCCCCAATCCCAGGAGTAGTTATGTTGATCCAGGCCACTGAGCTGTACAGTCCAGCTGGAGGACAGTCTGGTATACTGTTACTGTCATGGTATCACATCCCTGTCCTGCCCTGAAGGAAGACAAGGTGTGCATACCATGCAATATGTCCCCTGGAAGACCTTTGTGTACCTACAGGGATACACATGCCTCTAGAATTGTCAATTTTATGGGATTGACCTGTGTCATAACCATGAGGGCTGGCCAGCACCTGGGGATTAAAAGGTTAACTATGTCTCCTTGCTCTAGCTAGGTATCTGGTCAGCCAATAACAATGCAGGTAGGGGTTTCAAACTGGGACAAAGGAATGTTTAACTTTTCCCTCCTTTGTCTGGATCAGAGCAGTTTTCTTCCAGGTAACAGGGAAATGGGAGGCCGTCTGTCTCTCCAAGAAAAATATTTTCCCAATATGTAAGCAGAGTAAAATTAGTCAACCATCAGGCGTTATTGTTTTCCTGGTGTGGGAATGTGGAAATGATGTCTGTGCTGTTAAAAGTGGTTGTTCCCTTTCCTTTGTAACTAAGTCCTTAGCCCAGGGGATTCCCCGGAGTATCTAGATTAATTGGTGGCTTTTTCCCAGCTAGTCACTATGTTGGCAACTATGATTTTGTTTTGATAATAAAAGTTTGCTTCTTTTTTTTATTAACCTGGTATTGGTTCATTTCTGTGTCCTGGAAAATCTGTCTGTGGGCATCTGCATGCCTCTGACTAGGGGGTAGCTACCACAGACTGCAACTTGCATTTTCTCTTTTCTTTTTCATGCTCTTTGAGGAAAAGAGCTTGAGGTACCCCTGAGGTGTTTTAGGGAAGACATTTCCCAAGTGATCTCTTCCATGGTTTTCTTGGAATACTTGGGATGTGGCAATGGTTTTTATTTTGCAAAA